CTAAAAGTGTATATAATCTCCATTCTACAAAAACCCTTCCCACTGTTAATTCCTGCCAGAGGGCATTATAGTTGCATTTTTTTGCAACTCCTCCTGGTTAGGTATAAAATGTATTTGAAAAATGTACGTTCGAAAATTCCATGTACAAAATTAAACGCGTTTTCTACCGGGCAAATTTGTTCGCGCGAAGAGAAAAACAAATTTTGGCAATGTGAAAAAATCTCACCGCGAAAAAGTTACATCGCTTCCAGGGTCTTAGCTAGGATTTTAGATCTTGGGCGTGTTTCTAATGACCTGGGTGTGCACATGTCAATTACCTTGAATAGCCAAATTCACGGTTCTACAACAACGGACAATTCTATGCTTTGCAACCAAATACAAGGCGAGCATAAACTCGTATTGCGCACTGACATTAAAATATTAAGTTATTTCTTGCGGGTATTTAGAACCACTTTAACACCATACGGTTCCCATTATCCATCAAAACATTAAAACATCACGGATCACTTTTGCCAATTTCAACAACAACAATAGATTTTACAAACTTTCTTATGACGTAAATAGAAAGAAATTCTGTCTGTTGTAAGTAGCACCATCTTATTTTATGAACCTACACGGCCTTATATAAATAATGAAGCCCCGTTCATTTTATCTAGCCGTGTTTTTCCATTTTTGGCCGTGATAACACGGCCCTCCAACCAAGACCCTGATCGCTTCTCATTCACGTGATATATTTCAATTTTTTCCCAAGACATGAACGAATGCGTTGAAATTGAGGGTTATTGTACCAATGGCACGTGTACGAACACTATTGGTGGATCGAACTGCGAGTGTACAATTGGATTTACCCTGAGTCCTTCTGGAGACAAGTGTATTGGTAAGTTTTATGAAAAGCCGGATTTTGGCTCTTTTACACGAGGCCAGACAAAGCTTTTTGTCTTTGCTGAAAAGTCGCAATTTTTATACAGTATATTTAGGCTTTTTAGACAAAACAAGTGTTTGTTGATTTCATATCTATAAATCGACTTTCAGGCTTTTTAAATTAGTTTATATAATTTTCTCTGTGTTGGTGTATCACATACTCGAACCGACCAGACCGCGTAGCTCAGTTGGCAGAGCATTGGGCGAGTATTCCAAAGGTCGTAGGTTCGATTCCCACCGTGGTCAGGCATATTTTTCAAGCTTGCCCGGTGTGGATATACACTCAGAGTAACATCACAAGCATCATAGTTTATATAAGTATTAAAAATCCATTTGCTAACCTGTATACAATTGCTGGTTGTATTATTGTGTTTTTATTCCTTTTAATGCTATAAAAAGCCAATAACTTGCTGTCCAACGTGTTCTTTCTGTCTTTTTAGATATCAATGAATGCGACGAGGATCCCAATCTTTGTGAAATGGATGGGGAATGTGTGAACACCGCGGGAAGTTTCAGATGTATCTGTCCTTCAGGGTATAAAGTGGCCAACTACGGGAAAATGTGTGTAGGTAGGTATTGTCGGATCGTTCCTTATAGACACCTACTTAATATGCATGGCTGCCTCTCTAAAGCTCTACATTGAGAGTTGGGAAGCGAGAGTTTGCATTGGCGTTTTCTCAATTCTCATGCCCCGATCAAACGAGAACAAGAGTTGATGAGAGTTGACTGGATATTCACGACTAAAATTTGACTTGCATTACTGTATATAAAACTGTTTTAGTGTATTCGTTATACACAAAGGAACTCTAAATATACGCCTATTTCTTCACAGTGGATTCGTTGCGCTCCGGTAATAGATGATGCGACCTGTGACTGGAATTGCAACATATTTTTTAGCTAGCTTTCATTTTGAAAAATGAAAGCACATTGTAAGGAAGATCGTACTCGGTGATCGGCCGAATACAGGTCGTATAAAAAGTTACAAGTTCTTTCATTTCATACTAATATTTTTTACATTTCTACTTAGACATGCGACTAGGATTATGTTTTGAGAACTTCGACAGTGAGGGCTGCAGTAAGCCACGTGTGATCCGTTCTAACAAGCAAACGTGTTGTTGTACGAAGGGCGCTGGCTGGGGAGATCCGTGTTATGTATGTCCTCAGGAGCAGACAAGTATGTGCTAATAGTGAAATTTTGATGTAGATTAGCCTGGACAAAAATTTCATCACAGCTTGAAAGAACATCACAAAATTAGTAATATTCCGAAGTTTCGTTGCGAAATGTTGTAAAATGCGGATAATATAGCCTTGCGAAGTTTGTAATTTTCAGTCATTTTGTATTACAAATGGGAAATTGATAATCAGTTTGATCATCTGATTATCAATTTCCCGTGCGTAATGCAAAATGACTGAAAAACGGCAAACTTCGCAAGGCTATATTATCCGAATTTTACAACATTTTGCAACGAAACTTCGGAATATTACTAATTTTGTGATGCTCTTTCAAGCTGTGATGAAATTTTTGCCAGGCTAGTCTAGATCAAAATTTCACTTAAAAGGGGAAAGGTCTATTCGACATAGCTTTTTTTTGCATGTTGTATACTCGAAGTACCGGTCTGACAATGGCCAAATGCAGGCCATATTTCATTACAATTCGACTGGGCTTTGTAATCATTTATTTAAACCAGAGTAGCGAGCGAAACATGGCTTCAAACGTTTGCATAATAAGTCAAATCTGAATATGAAAAATCTTTATATAAAAATCTTTATATAAATTAAAAATCTTTATATAAAAATCTTCAGTATAGTTTGCATAACAATGGTCTTTTGTTAAAGTGTTCTTTAGCTGGTATAAAGACGTATGCACGTGACTAATTTCTTACTCAAGATTGGATAATTGCTTCATGAATTATTAATGAGTTTTTTTGAAATATAATTTAAAGAGTTCTTTTGAATGAGACAAACTATTTTTTTATTGCCAATGTCCTTTATGAGAGCATATATTTTATCCAACATTAAATTATTTTTCATTTAGGTACGTTTACATTGCTGTGTCCAAAGGGACCTGGCTATTCGGTGAAAAATAACAGTGTTGTCGGTAAGGAATATATTCTAGGTGAAAGTGAGCTTTTCACATGGATTTTGGAACTGACTTGTTTTCTTTTTAGATGTTAATGAATGCGACCATAATCCAGATCTGTGCACAAATGGACTATGTATTAACAGCGATGGTAGCTACCGCTGTCAATGTTATGATGGCTACGTCCTAGACGACACTGGCAGAAACTGTCGAGGTAGGATTCTGGTATTATGATTACATGCAGCTAGCATTTCTATGGCGAAAATTTACATGTTGGTACGATTAAATGTGCTTTACATCAAGTATCACGCTTTACTTACTGACCCTAGACTATTTTATCTTTACAACAATTGGCATATTACTTTCTTAAGGTTGCTTCACATGATGAACGTGCGTTTTAGTCTATTGAACTATTGAACATGGCGCAACGAATTTTAGGTGTAACGTTACCAATCTTTTAACCCACCCTGTCAACTTTCCCTGTGGGAGGAAACCGGAGCACCCGGCCGAGAAAACCCACGACTTGCGGCAGAGCGTTGACTGACTCTTTTCAACATCGTGGAAGAGTCCTTGAACGTAATCTTTACTGAAAGCATGGATTGTAAAATAACTGGATAGGAAACTTTCTGACGTCACAGTCTAAACTTAGTTGCAATCTGTGACGTCACGTGTATTGCCAAAATTCTCAGCATTTTTGTTGTTTCGCTACATTTTCCGCTTTAAAAGAGTAATATTGAAGCATAAACTGGTCTAATTGTTTTAAAAACATGCCTAAGCTACGACAAAGTATTCAAGGTAAATGTTTTTCGTCTTTGTTTTGTATTTTTTTTACATTTGTAGCTACGAAATTGGCGTC